TACAAGAAAAATGGCGAAAGGTTTAAAATACAGTCTCTCCGTCGTCGTAAAGCAAGTTAGTTGCTTTATCGAGCTCGTTAGGTTTAGTGTTAAACTTCCTACAGCGAGTATAGAAATCCCACTTTTTGCGTCGAATTGTTCTCGGCGAAGTAACTTCGACGCAGCTGCGAAAGGATCAGAGTGCTGCGACGGGTTAACCCTTAAATGCATATTGTTGCCAATTGTCTACATTCCAGTTCCACTGAATTTTATTCGAAAACCCGAGTATGCGCGTTTCCGAACACACGTTGATAACAATAGACGATAGACCATGCGTGAAATAAAAGACTCGACATTACTTTTGGCGAGTAAGTTATATGTTTTTTGACATTTGAATGCGGTGGGTGATAACTTCCAGGTTGCAAAGGATTTTCACGGACCGAGCGCATCGAATGCAAGGTTGCTTCGTGTCGCAACAAAAATCGCAATCGCTTTGCTGCATTTCATTTATAAATAATGTGAAAATTCCTATACTAATAGATAATATAAATACGTGACCATTCGTTTACGTCTACGATAATTTTAGCAATAAACGCGTATCGTTGCCAAAAGTCTACGTACAACTTTTTTTCAAAATAAATACTCAATATTATTACCTAGATTTTTTTATTTATTTCTTACGTAACCTTTGGCTATATTCCTATAGAAAACGATTTTTTTAAATTCAAAACAAAAAATCATGCATTTAAGGGTTAAGTTATTCAAAATATGAGAGGGTTAACGGTACTCTGGGAATTTCTTAGTTTTTCTTTTCCAATTTATTATATAAGTTACTCTGACTTTATGAAAAAGGTCTTATTTTCTCTGTCAAAATTCGCTCTCATTGAGAAACCGCAGCTTATACCTACACTTATTCCGCATAGAGAAACGAATTTCGTTGAAACATGAAAACAGAAAAGTTAAATTTTTTTTGCCCACAAATTATTGTTTACCAGAGCGTTGCGCGACGCTCGCCGCAGACTTCTGGATGCGCGATTTCGCGGGCCGGGCATACAGAGGACAGACGTCGATCGCATTAAGCGATGCTATCTCGATTATGTGTGTCACTGGGCACAAAGAAATGTGACAGACGCCGGAATTCACGGGCACTCGACCTTTTTCGAAACTACTGGTCTTTAACCCTGCCATTTGTTTCGTAATCTGAAACCGCCTCGTCGTTTAATTAGCTTGCTCTAGAGTTGCCTTTCCTTGACGAACAACCGACCAATTTTTACACATTTACATTTTTACACATTTCGTTGGTCACGCAGTGTGCTGATTTTTCAGCAGATTCTTTTACAAAAGGCAGATCCTTTACTCCAATATCAGAATTATGTTTCAGGTTGACGCATGTGAAACGTCGGATTTTTAATCAATTAAAATATTTTATTTTTTAAAAATTAAAATTAATAAAAATTATGAAAATAAAAATTGTCTACATCGATTATATCATAATTATATTATATATTATATTATATTATATCATATTATATTATAATATAATATATTATATTATATAATATATATATTATATTATATTATATAAAATATAAAGTACTATAATTAAGTAATTGTTCCATTATCTGAACATTGATGCCATTCTGTTAGCTCGGTAATCCAGATTATGCTGCAGTAAGCATTTAAAGATAATTTAAAGATAAATGCTAT